TTCGCGGATCGATCATCCCCATGAGCACCGACACCGGAACCTACCGTGTCCCCTCCGACCATCTCGGACGATAGGAGGAGAAGAAAACGAAGAAGGGAAAGAAAAAAAGGGCTATATTAAAAGAGTCGAAAGAGTGTTGAAATTAAATGATAAGTTGAGAGCATTTACATCTATTTGCTGAGAGATATCTTAGGAATACTAAAAGTTGAGATTGTAAGTAGCAAGAAAAGAGTTGCTGATAGAAATCCCGTTAAACAATTTTCCTTCCATGTGTAAATCTCTGAAGGATATTTTGATCCATTTTATATGTTCAATATTCTTGATCATGAGATTGTGATCATGTTAACTTCATGCACTTAATGTAGCTGCTTTCTGTATCTCATTGAGCTGATCTATGGAACTTAGTGCTTGTGATTTATGCCTTTCTATTCCATTTAGAGAAGACATTTCTTGGCTGCAGGGATGGTTCGAACTAGCTAGTGCTCGTCACTCGATGGGTTCATCGCGCATCTCAAGTGTGTTGCTTGACCAGAAAGTACAGTCTGCTGCAACCACATTTCAAGTTAGAAAATCTATTGATGGATCGCCATCAGGTATCTTATCAATATGTTGTGTCTGAAATAAAATTGCTGTTGGATGAGAATGTCTGTGGCAGTTCTGCATCATGATTTAATCCGCTGACTACATAGTTGATATTTGTAAGATTGACATCTCAAACTTGTAGAATATTTTTTGCATATGAATCTTGAAGATAAAAAATCCTGTATCAACTACAGAGTCACATCCAAGTTTTGCTATTTCAAAATGGGCATCTTCGAGGAATGGGAAATGTTCTTTCAGGGAGTTGGAAGTCAGTCGTGTGCAAAAGACATCTAAGAATTCAGAATTAAGGCATCGAGGTTCATCCAACTTCTACGGTATTAAATTCCGTTTTAACTTTTTTCCTGTATCTTTCAACCTCTCCTTACGGTAGAATGGATAACAAAATGTCTTCATTGATTTTAGATACTACAGAGGAACATGACTTGACAATCAATGCATCTTCTACCATTAGTGATAGTGATGTAAGTTATGTTGTCTTGAAATTTTGATATGTTACGGAAACAATCTGGAGTGCTTTTTTTTTTTCCTCTGATGGTGTAATTTATAGAAACGATGTTCCGAAATTTGAATGTTGTAGCTTAAAGTTTCTTCTTTGAAACCATAGGTTCAGAAGGAGAGGTCTAAATCCTTATCAGTCTTTGGAACTTTGGTGTCTCCAAAGCTCCGTGGTGCCCAAGTTTCGTTTGAGACAGGTTTGTCATGTCCATGAAGTCATCATTCTTTTTTGAATGAACACTTCCATCTGCTAAAATCTACCTAGCTTTGTGCAGCACTTGATGCCATAGTAGAAATTGCAAATATCCGGTCTTCGATGCTCTCTGCCTTCACTCAGTTACAACAAGAAATGAAGAAGGATTTAGGTTGAGTTCTACCACTTTCGGCTGAGCATCCGGTATTGTGCTTCATCAGCCACTCAAAAAGGATAGCACGATATGAGCTTTTGTTTACAAGATTGATGTTAGAACGACAATGCTTGTAATATGGAGAACGAAACATTGTCTATTTGGCATGTCTGCTGCTACATGAGATATGCTGACCTTTTGATCGATATGCTTTCGTCACAAATAATTGGCAATGATATTTCTCCAACTGTCTCAGAATGTTTCGTTGCCATCGGTACATCTATTAAGAACTAGTGGAAAGATATTTCTCCAACTGGAATACATACCATTGATGTGGTGTGGCTATATCTCTCAGGATCTTAGAACTAATCATTTATGCGGTTACTTTTGTGGTTAGAGAACTCTGTGATTGCAGCTGCTATCACATAGCAGGACTTTGTGGTTAGAACTTTGAGCCCCATTGTTACATGCACATCTATGAAATGAATAAAAATAATGATAATAAAATATTTTCTGGCATTGAATACATACCCGACTTGCAGTGCAAATTAGCTTGACATTCTATCATGTTATCACCATCCCCACTAAGAAAACAACAGGTACATCAATCCACTAAACATCAGATTGTCATCAAGTTTCAGTCGATCGACCAGAATATCAAAAATTATATTGTAATCGATCTTGATACCCCCAGTTGTCATATAAATAAATGTCCAACACAAAAGATAGGAGAATATCAGGACCTCACAAAACTTAATAGAAGAAGGTTGGAGGAGCAAGAATGAACTGAATTAACTCAAGAAGATGCAATTGCATGATGGCTCCCTCAAACCGTCCGTCTATAGTTTGATCTCACTTTCTGCGACAAGACAGTATTTCCAAGTTAAACCAGGTTCCAGTCATACCTTTTAGTGCTGAATGAGTAAAATATGGATACATGTGATTTATAATGCATAAAAGAAAGCTTTTGGCTATAGCAGTTTCATGACAGGCAGACGATAACAAACGCCTGATCATGGGATTACATCCCAGATGTCAGTATGGTGCATTCATCAATTGTTTGTGCCATTTGAAGGCTATAAAGCTTGAATAATGAACTGGACAATATCAAATGCTAACTCAAAATTAACCAACAACTAAGCTACCTTGCATATTCATGTATCACAAAACCATGAATCTTTATGTATAAATGCACTGATGCAACATCCAGTTAAACTTACTTCAAAAGAAAAAGTTCATAATTTAATCATGTGTAGGTATTCCAGAAGCGTCTAAAGTATGATTGTAAATTATAAGGTGTGTCTACAACCAAGTTGACAAGTGAAAATCAGAAAGCTGATAGAAATATGGTAACTCTGGGTTAAAATTAACATGAGTAATTTCAAATTTCAGCATAAGGATACTAAAAGGATTATCATTTACACGAGAATATGTTGGCCAAGGCAAAAAGCATTACCCATCAAAAAGTGATAAATGATACTAGGTATTTATCAGCTTATGCTTTTCAAAGTGCACTTCAAGAATCCAGGCAACTTGTTGCTAACTCAGAAGTACTATCCTTATGGACACCTCATTTTAGATAAATACCTCAATTTTGACATAACTAGTTACATGCAAACAACACTAGTTATGTTCTTTTCCTATCATGACCACCAGTGAACAACACTAGCTGCCACAATGGTCATTTACAAAGTATGTGGTATCCTATTTAAAACATCTGAAAAGACAATAAACATGCTTGTGAAATGAAAAGCATAAAGAAAAAATTGTGATCAGGCAATTTGCCACAAAAACCAAAAGCTAGGTAAATAATCGAAAAAGGTCATCAGTTTTCTAAAAGATTTTGTTACTTTATGGGTCATTGTTAGCTGCAGATTCTGGAAGTTTCTACTTTGTAGAGAATGAAATGTTTTATAGTTCTGCTATTTTTGCTCTATTCTAAAATATCTTATTTCCTACTAACTATACCTCTGCTGTGAGCCTCTTTTTTTGTATGTCATCAAGGAATTTGTTTCTTATATAATCCCTTAGAGTTAACATCGTTCAAGAACTAGTTTCTGTTGTCCAAAACAAAAAGGATACTATTTTTACATTTTTGCTGAAATTTTAGTGTTATATCTTCCTTCACTTGTTTCACTATTATCCTTTCTTGTATATTATCTTGATTCTCTCCTATTCCAAATACATGGTGCACATACGAATTATCAGCAGCTACTACTTTCAACAATTATGTTAGAAGATTAACTGACAACAAATATTTGTACCTATCCACCTTTTACAAGAAAGTGGTTTCCAAGTTTAAATAAATAAATCTTCTCCGAAGAATAGGCTTGACAATTCTAGAAAATGCATTTGAAAAACACCAGCTTTATCTTTTATTCTTAAGCAATTCAATATACAAAAAATAAGTGATAATCTAGAAGCATAATTTAAATTAATCAAACATTAATGACAAGGATCCACAGAAGAACCTCCAAAAGAGTGATGTAATAGAAATCTTCCATATGCTGCATAAGGGCAGTCCCATCTCTGATGGAACGGAGGAGATTAATCTCGGTCTGTAATATTTGTTCAATAAGTTGCTTCTCTCCTTTCATCTGCATAGAAGGTTTCTCTTCATCAGAGACCACTTCAACATCATACAACATCTTTCACAAGATATGCGAGTTTTTTTTGTCTTTTTTAATCAAGGACTTTGATAGAATATATACTATACTGAACATATGTAAGCAGGATGAGGATCAAAGGACTATAAGACAGACCAGGCAGGGGTCCATCAAAAGTGTTCAAATGAGTACGGAAAGCAATGTTGCTTCAGTTGAAGCATGCTTCCATATACTGAAATTAGAACAAGTGACTCAAATTGTTTGTTTGTTATATTTCTAGAATTAGTAAGAACACGTCAATAATTTCTGGTTACACCTTTGTCCTAAGTTCCTATTCAGAAATTCTAGATATACGACAAACATAAATGGAAAAAATTACTATCTTCTTTTATATAAGGAATACCATCAAATGCTTGTGGACACCAACATAGGTTCAAATCTAAGCATTCATGTGCACCTATAAACAAGCGGTGGCATATCGACAAATGTCATTATTGTTACACCGACCACCAGGCTATGAGGCTTTCCCGGGGGATGTTTTCTATATACATTCTCATCTCTTAGAAAGAGCCGCTAAACGATCAGACCAGACAGGTGCAGGTAGCTTGACTGCCTTACCCGTCATTGAAACACAACTTGGGGACATATCGGCCTATATCCCCACCAATGTGATCCCCATTACAGATTCGCTGCACAAACATTAATGTATGGCAAGGGTGACACTTACAAACTCATTCACAAGAATATCAGGTGTGGCTTCTCCAATTACATCACTTTGATACCCATCTCCTAGAAATTCTCTATTTACCTGTAGCAACATGTATCAGAATATCAAGTGTAACATACTCTGGTTGCTGATGAATAAACTCGCTAACAATAGTATTTATGGGTCAAAAAGATTGCACAAAACTGAGAATTGACGAAGTAATTAATTCAAATACATTTACATTTGGCAAGGCATAAAAATGGTCAAAAGTGAAAGTTAAAGAGAAAAAATAGGCTCACTTAAACATATGGTTGTCAACCCTATTCATCCTTGGAACCAAGAAAGAACAATAATAAGCTGTTTTAGGCAGCCTTATAGTTTTCTTAGGCATCCCTATACCTGTTCATGCACCACTAATCTTGATTTACTCATCTCATCTAATTGGAGTGTCCATGAGGCTATACCTGTTCTATCTTCTTAAACGATTTTCCCAAATTTCTTTTGTGAAAGCTATATTTTACTGTTCACAAATATATATATTTTTATTGTATATTTTCCGGTAACACCAAACATCCATCTCAACAACACTGAATATGTGTTGTTTGCTGACTATCTAATTTCAGTCTATAAAGCATTGTTTGCCTTACAATTAGTCTGAAAGGCATGTGACAATCACATAAACTCAACTCCTGATGCCCCTCTACAAATATCCCACTTTAACTCTGTTACATCAGTCTCCCCTTTCTACAGAGTTATAGATCTATATGGTTCCTGAACTTTTCATTTGTCTATGTTTACTATATTCTTGTTTCTTCTCTTGGCATTATTCGAGTTTCACAAAGTATATTTTTGGTTTTAGATCAAGAAAACCAATTACAAACAGGAACCAATTTATCATATGTTCCAAATCATCACAATAAAGAGAGCGATATTAGGTCTCCTAAAATAGAAGCAACAATAGCAATTTAAGGGATGGAATGAGCAACTGCCTATCATGTCTGTGATTGACATGAAACACCATTTGGAAGTTGAATGTTACCCACATGGCAATGAATTTAAAGGATGCAATTAACACCATAATCTTTAACTCTGCAAGGTAGATTCAGCCAAAAAAAGTTTCCATAGAGGCATAAACCATAAACTATATAAATCAATTAACATCTCTCCTGGTTTACTGAATTTCTGCTTGGTCACCTAACTACTGACACCTGCCTATGCAGAAACAGCTACTGAAAACAACAGGCTAGAATTTAAGTGAATGTCCCAGGAAGATCTTTAAGAAATTCAAATCTTTTTGAAAAAGTGATACTGTTATCATTTTCAGAGGCATTTAAAATCATGAAGCTAATTCTCTGCTCTGCTTTTTCCAGGATGCTGGCATATGATGTTGTGTACACTATTCATAAAATTGAGAGAAAATACCACAAGGTCCAAAGTCCAGTGAAAGGCTATTTAACAACTGAATATTCTTCAGTCTTCATACCCGTTATTCTATTAACAATAATTGTTACCCTGGATGTATGAGGCTATGAGCAGTATTCATAAATAAAAGCCATCTATAAGAACCAAGGGTAACATCTACCAATATAACTTGCTACTCACCAATAAATGAAGAATGTTTGTATAAGAAGCTTGCATGACTTTTACCAATATAACTTACTACTCACCAATCCCTCTAAATCTCCAGCTGAAAGATAAACAGGTTGAGCAACATGGCAGTAGCCCATAAGACGAGGCACTGTTGGAATAATGTCTCTGTGGTTCACAATTCTCCAGCTATCTTTGACCTTCTGTACGTTTTGTTTTTCTTAAAGAACTTTTTGCATAAAATAAGTGGCAAAAAAACATGATAAAGGGACCTTTTCCAAAAGTTAACTACTTGTGGAATTGTAGATGACAAACAAAAAGAGTTCTACGCTAGAATAGTAAACGAGTTTAAAAAGAGTTAAGCATGGGGTTGTAAAATTAAGACATACAAGCTGCTACTAGAAAATTCAACAAAATATTTACCACATCAAGCTTCAAGGGGATACACATTATCAAGTTGTGAACCAATTAGTTTCAGAAATTAGAATATCAATAAAGCTGCTTAAATAATTAAATACAGGGAGCCTGGAACAAAGGGCTACTTAGCAGTTATTACCTGAGAACTGATGGCATCATTGATAAATAAGCATTTATTAGTTGAAAGAAACAATTTGTTGTAGTTGGTCAATTTGCCTAATGATGTATAATCTCTAAAGCTGCACATAATGTTAAAAGGTATTACCTATTCCTTTTTTGTACACAATATAAATGCCAACTCTTGAGCTAACCAAGATAGATAAATAAGAATTGACAAGGTAGTTCTGGATTTATCTTGCTATTTGATAGTATAGAATATGGATTTCTGATTAGAAATATGTTAAGTATTTAATAACAGGAAATGATTTTTGAAAATTATGTTAAGAATAATAAGAGTGTTAATCCAAGCCAATATACAACAAAGGGAAACAAATCAATGTATCATATATCTCATCATGAACCTAGGGTGCAGCTACCTCTTCCATACCTCATTATAGAGCTCAGCAAACCTTCTATTTCCAACTCGAGGAGAACCGAAGTTGTACATCGTAACCGTAATTTGTCCATGCCTACAAATAACAACTTAAGATACATATGAGTTGGATTTAGAGAAGAAAAGCTAATATCAGGAAAAAAAAGAAGATGGTAGTATACCCAAATTATGGCTGTCTAAGGCACACAATTATATTTATGATAGTAATTCATATGAAAATAATGCATACTGTAAAATATACCAAATGAATTACCATGAGTAGAATGAGAGCTATGGTGCAAATATGATATAGTAATTGCTTACAGAGATCTAGTTTAAAAATCTGTTAATATTAGCTTATTTTATGCAAAGATCAAACTTGTGCATTAACATGCTATAGTCAGATTACATAATCTGTATTACTTCAGAGTTCAGAATAGTATAGACTACTGCATGCAGCAAATATGAATTTCAAGAACATTTCAAATTCTCAAGACTGCTGCATCCACTAGTACAAATACCCAGTTATAAATCACATTATTATTTCCAAGGTAATAAATTGAAACATACTAATACCCAGTTCAATTATAAAATTCAAGCCATGGAAACCCTTAAATGGTGATACTCTGAAATTTATGGTGGAATGCTTTGAAACTAGTCCTGGATACTGCAGACCTGTAGTATCTGTCAGGAGAGGAGGAAGAAAGATGGGGCAGTGGAGGCGGAGGCCAGGGCTTATAGAATCAATGCTGCAAGGGAGAGAAGACATCAACCTGACATCCCATCTACTCCTTTCTCATTTTTTTTGTTTCCTTTCTTTTGAAATTTGACTGATACCAAAGGACATACAGTCGATACGTTAGTATCCTACATTCCTACCAATCCAAGAGGGACCTATGTACTTGTACCTCACATCGTAATCCTTGGTCCAGCTAATCAGCTAGTCTGTAAAATATAAAGATCAGCTAGTATTTTGAAATTTGACTTTCTTTTCCTTCTTGTTTTTTCATAGGTACCGAGATACCAAATGGTATACAGTTGATACATTAGTATCTTACATTCCTACCAATCCAAGAGGGACCTATGTCCTTTAGTACCTCACTTTGTAATTCTTGGTCCAGCTAATCAGCTTGTCTGTGAAATATAAAGATCAGATCCCTCAGTCTCTGCTCAAGAAGTAACAGAGGATTGCCCATCAAAAGCTCATTGGCCAAGGAGTGAGTAAAGAGAAGATCTGTTCATCAATAAGCTCTCATGAATGTCTAAGTTTGTTTAGCCATGTATTTTTCAACGAGGAAGATTGCAATCCTTACATCATACCATGGTCTTCTCCAAGGTTCGCAATACCGTACCGTACCGGTATTTCGACCTGGGCTCGGTACCGGTACGGTACAGTATACCGAGCGGTACACCCAGGTGTACCGAGTACTGTAGCACAGTACTCTCGGACCGGTAACAGTCGGTCCGCGTACCGACAACCTGTCGGATCGGTACGTACCGCCCGTACTGGGCGGTACGGCTCGCTACGACAGACCCTGGTCTTCTCATTAATTTGTTTTTCAACTTCGGGGAAAGATCTCATTTAACATTTTGAGATCATCATACCATAGTCTTCTCATTAATTTGTTTTTTAACTTCAGGGCAAGATCTCATTTAACATTCTGAGATCATCTTAAAGAACACTTGGCTTCTTTTTCTCAATTAAATTGCACTTCAAGAAAGTTTATTTCTCAATAAAATTGATTATTTGTTTGAGATCCCGATGGAGAATCATCTAACTTTAAAAAGGATTTCAGAAATGTTTATTCTAGGCAAAGAAATCAACAAAAAGTCATCAATTAATTGACCTAGAAATTCTAAGAGTTATATTGAAAATTGAAAAGTCTTTTTATCTTTCTACGGATTACTTTTGTATTAAATGCACTCATTTACTATTTACGTATCCTAAAAGTTACATTTTGGATTTCTAAAAGGTATACTAATTCCCTAGAAAATTACTCTTGAAAATAATTGTCTTCATTAATTGTACCAAGGCTTATAAACCCTTGTAAATAGTGGAGCTTTTCAATGGATCAAACACTTCATTAGAATGGAGAAGAATTGCATCTCTCTTTTAGTCTCTTTCTCTCCTCTCTTATCTCTGATCTCTAATATGACGCCTCTCTTTCTCTCCTCTCTAATCTCTAATCGCATGTCTCTCTTTCTCTCCTCTTTAATCTCTAATCTCACTCTTCTTTTACTCTCTCTCTCTATTTCTCTACCTTGTTCTACATCAAATCCTCATCAAAGATAACTAATTTTTCAATATATCATTTTTTTTACTACAAGATTTTCATTATATGACATGGTTGGCTATTTTAACGAAAGAAAACACAAGCATATTTAAGTATCCTATTCAAACCTTTGCCAGAATTTTTTGATTAATGTCCTCTATATGTTAAAAAGCTAATCCAAGGAAATAAATCTCATACTCTATAATGTTCACTCAAGTCTTGACAATATCCTCAGCTTGCAACTATCCTTCCCCTTTTTTGATAACTTATGTTGCATTACTTAGTTGAGTCATTATTCTGCAGCATTTGGAGGATTTTCCTCTGACCTACAATTTATGAATCCATTTTCTGATCTTTGTTACAAGGGAAGAGGAAATTTCTGATATGCCTTTCTCATTGCCAGATACTCTATATTTCTTTTCTTTCCCACCAGAATAGACTTTCAATACATATAGCAGGAATCAAGCATGTCATTTCAAGAAAATGGAAAAAAAAATTCTGAAAGTTAGGAAATGAAAATGCATCAATTTGTATGGGAAACAATGTTCTACTAACTTTGCCATTCGACTTGATGATAATTCAAGAGCAAGAAGTGTAGCAAGTGCACCACCTAAGCTATGTCCAGTAACATAAAGTTGCCATTTAGGTGCATTTTCTGATTCATCTCCCAATCTGTAATAGAAACTCTGTTAATATTAATCAAAATAGTTGAAAAGCAATTAATAGTAATTAAAAAACACCACAATAAACACAACTGAAAAACAAAACTTATTGTTCTTGTTTTTGTTGAAAGATTATTATTATCTTCACCTTGGACATGTTTTCAAAGTGCTTTGTGTACCTTTATTATGGTAAATTTTGTTGCTTTGTGTCCACTACTCAGACAGATTTGGAAAGCTTGTACCAAGACAGATTTGGAATAGAATGCTGTAGAGAAGAGGTGATGTACAGGGCCGAATCTCCATCAGATACATTTGCAAAGTTTCATTATCATGTAAATGCTGAAAAAATAGGATCTAGTGCATCAATTTATGGCAGAGGGTTGGAATGGATTCCACAATACGGAAACAAATAAGATTTATTCTTGTTTTCCTGTGATGGTGGAGCTCATATTAGCCTCATGAAACATATTTATGAAGATGAGAGTATAAAGCAGGGTTTGCTGTACCAATGCGTAGTACCAATCCAATAGGATACCGGTACATGGACCACCCTCTACCGGGCGGTACCGGTCACTTGACCCCGTATCGGGCAATACGGGGTTTGTATCGAGTGGTAATAGTCAAAATCCGATCGTTATCGACTTGTACTAGTTGGTAACGATCGGATTACCGACCTGTACTGTTTGGTGACGATCGGATTTCGACCGTTACCAATCAAGGGCTGAGATTGCCCTATTTTAAATGATCGATTTGATGGTTTAAGGCTTAGAAAAGGGTTTCTAAACCCTTTCCTCCCCCCTCTTTCAGTTCATTTCACTCTCTCGATCTCTTAAACTTTCTCAAACTCTTTTTCACTCACATCTCTCTCTTGTTCTCACATTTTCACTCTCCTAAACAAAACAAAGCTACAATTTGTGGATTTGATGAAATTCAATAGATTAATTTGGGAGGATTAACAAGAAGAACACTCTAATCAAGAGGTAAGTATTCTCTTTCTAGATTTTTATTGATTTATGAGATGATTAAGCCTATTCTATGTGGCATATAACTTAATGTCTAATATGTTGTTTAATACAGGGTTTGTCGTACCGAGCTGTACCGCCCGGTACGGGCGGTACATACCGGTCCGACAGATTTTCGGTACGCGGACTGACTGTTACCGTTCCGAGTACTGTAGCAGTACTGTAGCACTGTAGCAATGCTACAATACTCGGTACACCGTACCGTACCGGTACCGAGCCCAGGTCGAAATACCGGTACGATACGGTATTGTGAACCTTGGTTTAATATATTTTTGATAGTAGAATAGTACTAATTAGGGAGTAATTAAAGTCTTTAATGTTATGATTAGTATGTTTAATATGATTTTTTTCGAAAGTAGACACTTAATAGGTTAAATCTCTATATTTCATGCATATTAAGGGTCATAATTAGGTTTAATTAAGTTTTTTTAATATTGTGATTAGTGATTTTAATGATGATTTAATCAAAATTTGATCGATATTAGGCCAATTTATATTATTTTTACTAAAATTATACTAAATTTATATTTATTTCTAACTTAAAAACCCTAATCTAACTTTTTTTCTACTTTTTAGGTATTTTTAGATGTTTCTTTTTTTATGATTTTGGGTGTACCATCGATATACCCCAGCGTACCATTGATACTCCTCGGTACATACTGTACTGAGCAGGACTCGGTACACCGATACAGACTAAAATTGTAATCCTTGGTATAAAATATAAACAATGAGGGGATGGCTTTCGGGGGACTGGATGTGTTTTCTATAGATTTTTTTATAAAATATATTGTCATATAATTAACAATTTTGTTTGTAGTGCTGCCATTTTTCTTAACATTGTTTCTTGCATGACCAACAGGGTTTTGATCAATCTGGCTTAACCTCGGAGTGAAGGCTACACACACCATGGTTTAGACTAGGCTTAGTCTAGGAAGTGCTACAGTGTTAGCACTTCCTGATTTTGACATGGTCTTTAGAGTTGATACTTGACACAACTCCTCCCATATAGGCATAGCTCTTGTTTTGAATCAGTAATGTTGTCCTATTGCCTATTTTGGTGAGAAGTTAAATGATGCAAAGCATGATACTCCACATACGATTTTAAGTTTTATGCAATCATTCAGGATTTAAACATTGGATAAGGCATTACCTTCGTTAGAGGGAATTTTATTGAACTCCAACCATGAGGGTGTTGTGTTTGTTGAACTCAAATTTGATGGAAAGAAACAGCATGCTAAATGACTTTTACTCCAGTAACACAATTCATCTTAAGAATAAAGTGGCCAATGCACTGAGTCATAAACTGAGGTCATTGGTCAAAATGTCAATCCAGGTAGCATGCTTGGGAGTGCTTAACAGTCATATCACAGTTGTCCATAGTTTGGATCCACTTGTCAGTCATGTCAGGACTTTGGTTTTGATCCCACTGCAAACTTTGTCATCGAAGAAGGATAATTGTTTCCGAGTCCTACCTATGGAGTCTCTAGTTTATGAACTATATTGTGGAGGATTTGGTTGGTCACTTTGGCATTAAAGAACATTTTGGTGCGTGAACTCTAATCTAGCTAAACTTGCGTTGTAATGCAATGGGATATGTTAAGATGCACGGTCTGCCACTTTCTTAAAGGTCACTCTCAGTATACGAGATTGTACACTCCCATTCTGTTCCAACTGCAACCTAGGTTCACCAAAATGAGAGCATTGTGTACCAAGTTACAAAGTTGATCACTTTTATGGCAAACTGATATCATCTATGCTTGATAGATACAACACATTTTCAAGTCATTTTTAGATGACCTTATGACCTAATCTAGAACTAAGTTTCATTTCATCAAATGCACCCCATCCACAAAAAATGGGTTGGCCAAAGTGATTGATGATCAGATGGTAAATTGTTAAGGTGTTTGGCAAGAGTGTCCTAAGTGCAACAGGATCTAATTCACAGCCCGAATATGCCTTTAACAACTCAAAAAAAAGTTCCAAAGCAGTTATTTAAATAGGCACTCGGGCGCTTGCCAAAGCGCTCGGGTGAGGCGAGGCAAGGCCCGAGCACCTCATGTGTGCACCAGGCAGCGTGCTTCAACGAGGCGCCGCCTGGCTGCTCGCCTGAACGCAAGCACTAGGCGCTTCAGGCGAGCACCCGACTCTATTAGGCGAACCGAACTGATTTAAGGCTGGTTCAATTCATAGTTTCTTACCTCAAAACCACGCTTCACGCCTGTACAACCCTGAGGAACCCTAGCGCTCCTTCTGCCTCCGCCACCGATGCTATATATATATATATATATATATACCGCCCGGTAGTGAGCAATCTGTGTACCAATTTGTTAATGGACCGGTACGGGCGATATTATTCAAAATTGAAGACCTTAATTAATAGCAAGGTTTGCAATACCGTACCGTACCGGTATTTCGACCTGAGCTCGGTACCGGTACGGTATGGTATACCGAGCGGTACACCCAGGTCTGCCGAGCACTGTAGCACTGCTACAGTGCTACAGTGCACTCGGACCGGTAACAGCGGTCCGCGTACCGACAATCTGTCGGACCGGTACGTACCGCCCGTACCGAGCGGTATGGTTCGGTACGGCGACCCTGATTAATAGTATATTAAACCGTTGTCGCTGCTATCGTTCGTAGTGCTACTGTTAACAATTTTTTCTCCCCCCTCTAACTTTAAGTAATATACTGTTAACAGTATATTTGTAATTTAATATTATATTTCAATTTAAATAATTATATTTTAATTATATTATATTTTTTTATATTTTAATATTTCAGAGAATATTTTTTTCTCCTCTTCTAACTTAAGTAATATATTGTTAACAATATATTTTTAATTTAATATTATATTTTTATTTAAATAATTATATTTTTTATATTTAATATTTTAGAACGTCTCATTTCGCTTGGGCGAGCGCCTAGTGCCTCGGACGTTTTGGGACCTTGGTGTCTAATACTTTTTAAATCACTGGTCCAAAGGTAAGCTATCATTTTGAATCTCTTAATCCATCCTATTCATCACCTTCTTGATTAAAACCCTTATCTTACTTTGTATTAAAACTCAATGAAATCTCACTATTTCAAAGTTTTTAACAAACAAAACTCATATGCAGAAAAAAGAAAGATCCATCGTTTAGTCATATAAATATATTAATAAGAGCATGAACATATAGTTTGTACCATTAGCACAATAAAATAGGTATGAAATTTGTATAGGCAATGACAATGAATTTAAAAATTACAGATCTAAAGAATCCTAATATATTAATCAGATAGAAAAATGTTGTTAAAGCAAACCTGCATTTTATTATATTTCAGCATTGTACATATATCATGTAAATAAATTGTATTTCTGTTTACAAAGAAAAATGACTTACTCAAAACCAATTGCAAGTTCAGTGAGCATCATTATCCGAGTCCTGACTGAATCATATGCATTTAAGAATCCACTATGAACCTGTCAAAATTTAATTCCAGTTGAACATCATGCTAAATTATATAGAATAACTATTGAACTCAACAAGGTTATTACGGTAAGCATAAAAGAATAAATTTATATCATTACCTGAACTTCTTGTTTAAAATCGCCACTTAGTCTCTCAGGGTTTAGCCTACATGATCAAGAATGGCATAGAAAATCAGGCTACAATATCATGTATGTATTTCTTTCCAACATTGCAATTTAAACAAAATTTGGAGCAATATCAACACAAGAAGCTGAGTAACCCATCCCGAATTGACAAATTTGTTTATACAAGACTCTGGTTAGTGTCTGAAGCATGGATTCAAATATTATCTGTACGGTGCACGCCAATCAGTATTTATCAGTCTGGTCATTTTTTTGCAGGTTATGCCAGGCGACATAGGTCAATTACCACTCTTCATACCAATACCATACCAATTTAGTAGATTACCAAAGTCGGTATCGGACCGAGGTTTGAATCCTTGATCTGAACTTATTATCAATTTAGTCAAATATAAGGCATTTGACTGCTTTAGCCAAATAGTTATATTTAGAATTTAAATTCCAATGTCTATGGTTAGTTCTTGGAACCAAGGAATTAAATTCCACATCTACGGCTCCATATGAGATAGTATTTACTAATTCAACAGTCGATCAAAATGTGGATCAAATGATTTAGCCAAGTTTGATCGAGTATGGATTATACCACTCGGCAATCTCATTGTACCAGGCTTACCGGGAGGTGAATAGCCAAATACAATTCAGTACCAGGCAGTAAGCTCATAGCTGTATTTTTTTTCTTTCGTTTGTTTATTCCCTCTCTCTTGTGCTCTTTCTCATGCACTCTCTCTCTCTCCTCATGCTCTCTCACTCTCCTCCATCATTGCCCTCTCTGTCCTGCCATGTCACTGTTGTGTCTTCATTCGGATAGTCATTTCCTCCTATCAATACACATCCTCCTCATCTTCCTCCATCTCCTCTTAGAAAAGGATATGCCTAGATATTGCATGATGCAAAAAGATGATCAATATTTTCAAAATCTCCTGTAAGGAAGAAGAGAATGGTATCTGTAGTCTGTAGACACTGTACAATATCAACAAACAAGTAACACGATAATTTTAGGTTTAGCTCATACTATGTATGTAAAAGAATCAAACCAGAAATTAGAATAAACTATTAGAATAATTTGTTTACTGTAAATGAACAGATGTATCTCAAAGGTATGATTAGATATTGCATAATGCAAAAAGATGAGTAATATTTTCAAGACCCCCTGTAAGGAAGAAGAGAATGGTATCACTTAGCATAGGAGAAAGTAGAGAATCAGACTGAAGGAGTGAATATTTAGCAGCCGAGGGTGCTGGTTGTTCTTTCAGTTTGGGAAATGGACTTGTCACTTTGGTTCAGGAAACACATATATAATGAAAACACTTTCTTTCTCACCAAATTCCTTATCTCTGAGTCCTGCACAAAATCAATGCGATGACGACCATGATTATGCATCACAGAGTTTTCTATGCATGGTCTTACATAATTACCTAAGATGGTCCTCAATCATAGTTACAATTTAAAAATACTATAACCATACTGCCTGAATGAACCAGTCCCACCGAATACCATAATGCAGGTACCATTTTTATACCTAACACATCGACATTAAAAAAAATTTCTAAATTTATTTTGGAGTCCTACCAGAGTGAAAACATAATGACCACTACATATCAGCCCATCAGGGTTCCAAGATCAGTATTGGACCAGTATCCTAAACCTTGGTCCATAAGCATTGGCTATTTTTTTCCCAAAAGACTAATTTCATTATTTGGAGGCTCTCCATTGACTTTAACTTCTCCATTGCTTCTTGTCTTTTTCCTAACGCTTACTAAATCTTATAGGAGTTCTTCGGTCTTATTAGATATCTATATGCAAATAGCAACGAAAGGAAAAAATTCACCCTGGAAGATTACTGGTCAGAAAAGGCTATAAAAGTGGTGCTCCATTTGTGACTTTCCATCAGAAGATGCTAATCATGTTTTTTTTTCACCATCAGGTAGTTGCATAAGATGAAGGAAATTTTCATTAATACATGATACTTCACAGCTGCTTTCCACCACTGAGGATTTTGTGGGGGTCTTTGGAGAAATCATTTTATTCTGCAGCTCAGGTAAAAGATCAGAGATACTTTTGCTGTTTTAATGTGTTGAATAATTTGAAAGAACAGAAATGAAAATAAAAACGAAAAAACAAGGACCCAAATTCAATTGGAGGTTTTTTTTTGGTGGTGTTGTTCCTATAGAGTGAATGTATCCAGGGTTTGCAAGATTCTCTCTTGTATTTTTACTTATATAAAGAAGTTAGTTGCAATGAAGATGCTATAGAGATGTCAATTTCTTCCTTGTTTGTTTTTTCTCTTTTGTAGCTTTTTCAATTTCTTAGAGAAATGATTTTCGAAAAGCATGCATATCCTTTGCATTAAACTAAAAGGTAGAATCATTGCCTTCAGAAAAGAACAAACCTTCATACCATAATAAGGTTGCTCATGGAGTGGCCAGGGCTCAAGTGATGGAAACAACCTCTCTCCTTACATGGGTAATGTTGCATTCATTTACACTACCCAGATACTGGACTAGGGGAGCTTTACACACTAAGCTACACTCTTTTTATATTGCTTAATGTAGATTGGACATATTTTATGGTTTTCATCAATTAACTATTGGTCTATGAGATATCTCATGTATCTTATGTAGGATAAATGATAAATCTATGCCAAGTATTCTATGTGGCCCTTAGTCAATGGAACATCTATTATATGCTGTTTTTCATGTTAAAAGAAGCATCTAGATCCATGGAATAGATTATTTCTTAGTTCTTTTTCCAGATCAAACATATGCTTCGCTTTATCAATCAAAAGTATCTATATATTTTCAACATATTTTGTCCTTAGATCATACTACAAGGTAGAAGTCTTGTTATTCCATCTATATTCTCAACTTATAGTAATGGTTCTGAACTATTTATATGGGTAGAAAACTAATTATGAGAAAATAAAATAAAATAAAAACACATAAGAAAAAAAAATGTATTCATAAAATGTTTGATTTCAAAGAATATTGATAGCAGTTCATTTTTAAATTTGAAGATTTCCAATGACCAAAACCAATTTTTTGAAATATATTTATAAGCCTAACTTAACCAAGGATGATGATACCAAGGTTTGAAATATCGTACCGTACCGGCATTTCGACATTCGCTCGGTACGGTACGATATAGTATATCGAGCAATATACCATTCAGTATACCGCTCGGTATATATATATATATATATATATATATATATATATATATAATTTTATTTTATTTTATTTTTTTCCTTCTCCGGGCGACATCGCCTTAATATATATATATATATATATATACCGTCCAGTAACGGGCGATCCGTGTACCGGTCAGCTGACGGACCGGTACATACCGCCAGGTACGAGCGGTATTATTCAAAACTGCATGAATAAATAAGCCATGAATTTCAATCATTTACGGTTGGCTGCATATATTTTTTCCTAACTGCAAACCCTGTTAGTGGCTACATTACTTGCTAAACTCCAGTCCATCCAATGCCTTATTATGGTTTCCTTGAAAGCTTCATAGGAATTTATCTACCTGTTCCTGAAAAACTAACCAAAATCGACTCAATATTCTAAAGCATTGATTGTTTATAGAGATGATAGAAAAAGAAAAATGCACTGAGCAAGGTCTGCCATACCGAATCGTACCGCCCGGTACGGGCGGTACGTACCGGTCCGACAGGCCAACGGTACGCGGACCGCCCGGTACCGGTCCGCACTGTGCTACAGTACTCGGTACACCGTACCGTACCGGTACCGAGCCCAGGTCGAAATACCGGTACGATACGGTATTGCGAACCTTGGCACTGAGCAATTTCACTTATTCCAGTTCAAATCAAGGTTCGCAATTTCATGTACACCAGTCATTGCTCGGATCAGTATAGTACATGGTATCAGTCATAGCCCAGACCAGTATGGTACCCGTCCTACCAAGTTTCAGAAAAAACCTAAAAATACTGAAAAAAATATAAACTACTTGGTACCGCCTGTACTGAACGGTACCGACCTGTTGGGTACCAAACACATCATTCGGTTTACAGTGGTTAGTTAACCGGGAACCTATTGGGCTAGTAAATACTGCCCATACCATCTCATACAGAACAGTATTACGAACCTTGGTTCAAATGTCATTTTGGTGACAACTATTTGTTTCTTCTAAAAGAGTCCAAAATCTTATCATGATTGAGACCCAAAGAGAACATGTCTCATAGTATTGGTCCATTGGAGCTCATTAGTTGAACAAGAATCCTATCTAGAATAAAATAAATATTCAATTGTATATAAATATATATAGGGTGATCCAAAGTTGTTTCCATGACTCAAACCTTGATCACTCAAGTCACAAAGGAGCAATCCTGGTATATATACATCAAAAGTGGAAATTTTAATAAGTTCTTACCCAGCTGGAAGTAGCATTAAGTCGGTGCACAAATCCTTCCATTTTGACTGATCATACAACAATTGCACATGTAAGTTCCAGCAAAACTTTACTCAACATTAGAAATCTATTTGCAAGAGAGAACATGCAAAAAATTAAGTGTAAATATCTAATAAACCAAACAACATACTTGCTCAGTACCTCTGAAGGCAACAACTAATCTTCTCCGAACAGAATCACGCCAGATGGCCACCTACAGATCATTGTATATTAGTTTACTCAGTATTCCTAAATTTTGTGAATTTAAGAAAGGAAGACATGTAGATTTTATCATAATTAAAATCACCAATATGCAGTTACAGACTCACCTGTGTATCTGTGGTGGTGTTATCAAGAAAACATATCTTTTCAAAGTCAGATTTGATAAAACTTGTACGGCCCAACGAAGTGGCTAGCATTGTCCAGGCTTCCATTGCACTTTCTGCACTTGAAAACAGTTCCCTCATCTCCTCAGCTTTTTCTGTGTCTAGTTCAAATCCTTCTACGGCAACAGTTCCTGTGTCGTTTGAAGAATATCCTGCAATGTCATCTTCAGTCTTGGAAGTGTCTTCTCTACCGCTGCTCTCAAGCAATGACATTAGATCATTTCTCTGTTGAGAGAGTGTGGCAGTGAGGATCATTAATGCTCCAAATATTGTCTCTGTTTGGCTCAGCACATCCCTTGATACCTTCGTGATGTCCATAAGTGAGTACTTCGACTCATCTATATTAGACAGATGATCACTCTGTCTCTCATTATCACCCTTATCTTCAGGTGTTGCAAGTCCAGATTCAACATACTCTTTTTCTGCAAATCTGAGTGACTGTAAGCTGACCTTATTTAACTTGTCAAATCCATCAAACAGTTTGATCTCAGGAAGTGAAAAGCCAAACTTCTGATGAACAATTTGATTGATACTTTCAGCAAAAGTTCTCCAGAAATACTCATCTGGTGGCCCTGATTTATCATCGTTCTCCAATGTAGAATTTTCTTCCTCATTAGTTTGAACCAAAAGTAACGTGGGCTCTTTCTCAAGGTTTGAGTTAGATATGGAATTATCTGAAGATTCTGAACTGCTCTCTTGCTGCAGAAATGTTGCTGAGCTAGCATTCCTACTTATAGATTTATCAGTGTGTTCTGAGTCATTGTTATCATTGTTGAAAGAGGAAGGTTTCTCAAGATAAGTATATCCAAAAGTTTTTAACTGCCCAAAGGCAGATTGTACAAATTGACTAACATTTGTACCCTCAGACCCAAGGACCAGTTTGAGAGCAGATCCAAAGTTGCTCTTTATAAAAAAATCTGAGAAAAAAGGCATTCTCCACCACAGTTTCTCTTCTTTAATTTCATCATAGCTTCTGTAAATAACCTAATAAATAAAGCAGTCCTTATAAGTTACTAATTGTTCATCCTTTATGGTTAAGCAGAGCAGACAAATGGTAGATTTAGAAAAAAATATCCTTTAAATATTAGAAAACAAGCTTCGTCATTAATAGAAGTCAATTATTTATTTTCTTCACAGAAAAAAGAGGATCCTGATACCAATCATTTTAATCTCAGTGTGATACTGGTTTCAGCAGGTACCTATAATACTAGACAGTACACCGACCTATAAAACCTGGTATCATTGAAAAAATTTAAAAAAACAAATATTATTGGTATCAAGGTATGTGTTTCAATATCAGCACTTGGTGGGACCAGTAAATATTAGTCCGTACCAACTGGTACTAATATGGGAAATAATGGCGACGTGACGTGTCACGACAAAAGCCCCACGTGGGCGCCACTCTGCCCGATGAGGAGAGCTATAACACTGATTCGACTCGCGTTAGCGACACCCGCTATCAGGCAATGGCTTCCAACCCCGCACGATTGACCATGGCAGGGCAGGACGACTACCGACCCTCGCCCATACCCTGCAACGTTCCCGTTCTCCACGCAACGTGAGTAACGGTGTCAGACGCCATCAGAGGTGCGACCCTGCCTCACACAGGTGGGTACACCAGGAAACGGTAAGCTTCCCTACAAATACCCTCTCTTTCATTAGAAGAGGGGGGGCGGGGACACACCCCAAAAACACTACTTCTCTCGAAACCCCCTCTACATCTTTCGCTAACTTGATCGTCGGAGGGGTCGGGTCGAGCCTCCGACCCGACCAGTGTGCAGGTGCGAGTCGAGGTTGCCTCTTCCCAGACGCTGCGGCAGAGCTCACTCCCTGACGGGGCATCCAGATCACCGCGGTCGGCCACCCGAAGGACCCGAGGCACGCCGCGCAAGATCCCCGCCATTCGGACCCCTGAACCAGCCGCGTCGACCCCGAGGTCACGGCTAAAAAAGTTATTTACCATAACAGGTACCATTGAGATATGAAACCTTGCCCCATACATCAATTTATTAGGAGGTTTACTGTTTAGGATAATCCTTTTTTTGTGCTGATTAGAGATAGATGTCATAGATACCAACATTAAACATATAAGATTTTCCTTAAGAGTTAGTTTGTCTTTGGGATAAGCTAACATGCAAAAACATTTGTATAAACAAAATAGGAACTAGGAACCATACATGTCACTTCAAAGTTCAAAGTAAACAATATTGTGTTGGAAAATGTTCATTTCAAAGTTAAATGCTTCGCCTATAGCAACAGAGCTACTTTCTGTTATTTCAAGAACAAGATACAAATTGATCAATTCCACAACACAAAAAAAAGACAAGACAAATGATTCAAGAAGACAATCGAGGAAGCTCCCTTAAAAGGCATAAGTTATACAAGTTGAGTGGCATACATCAGCTCACTGCGGTATATTTTAGTCACCACTGTTGGGTCTTACATATCACAAGAACTTCATATAACCAGTTGATGATTAACATCTAATAAACAGATATAAAAAACATGTTAAGAATTTAAACAAAACAGAACAGATTAGAGTTTTAAAAAATTATCATTTTAAGGATTGATTGGCAGTAACTACTTTTATGCATATAAACCAATTTTTACCTCCAAATATATCTTTCCACCACCACTAATCCCCTCCAGTTCCACCATCACCTCATGCAGGTTGCCTACAACAACAAATTTTATTACACTTCTTTGTCCAAGAAAACAAACACTGGCTGTACACTGAATGGATTGGCTTGCAAATACTAAAAGAACCAACAATTTCTTAACTTCAGCAATCAAATGCATCATTATCACATAGATACAAAATTGTCAGAGGAACCTTCCCGCTTATTTTAAAATTTAGTAGCATAAAACATATATTAAATTTGTATGGTCTACCAATTTTAAGTATTAGCAGCTCACAACTTCATAGCTTGTCAGAACTTACCACAAAACACGAGGTTTCCTGGGTAGACTCAATACAGCAAATAGTAAATCACAACATGGCAATTGATTCTATGCATGTGAATATTCAGATGAGAGTATATAGATGCTTTGATAGTATAACCATAAAAACATACGATGGATTAAAGTTGAGAAACAGTTGTCATGATTGGCCATTTCACATGTAGGACACTCACCATCACAGAAAGTTTCGAGATTAACTCCTGCATTTCCCATGCGTTTGTGTGGAGTAATGAGGTTCGCATCCCAAGCTGCAACCTTCATTTACAAATTAAGTACCATAACAAGAGATAAGGTGAAAAATCAAACCACTTGTAAGGCTAAAGTAGTAAAATGTTAGGTTGAAATTAAACATGTTTCAAACACCACTTGTCATTGATTGCTTCTATAATTTTTCACTCATACTTTTAGGAAATTTTTGTTCTCCATAAATGTTGATCTGAATATGTTGATTAAGATAGAAGTTAGGCTTAAATGTAATCATCATCAAGTCAGCTTGTGGAACACTGGACAATGATAGATTGATTTGATATTACTCTTGTCTTATTACTTATAGAGAAAAAGTTAGCATAGTTGAGATTAGAATGTTGAGGTGGATGTATGGGAGTTAATAGAAATGAAAAAATAAGAAATGTTTTAATTTAAGAGAAATTAAGTATAGCTCCAATAGAGGATAAATGAGGGAAAATCATCTAAAGTGGTATGAGCATGTTAAGAAATGGCATATGGATACTACAGTTACACAATGCGAGCCAATTAAGAGTAGTGATGTAAGGAGATTAAGGGAAACCAAGAAGACCTTCTAGAAGCAATAAAAAGTGATTTGAAAACACTTGATTTGAAGGGAAACCAAGAAGACCTTCCTAGAAGTAATAAAAAGTGACTCGAAACACTTGATTTGACAGCTCTTGACTTGAATGGACATGTTTCGTTACACAAAACTCAATGGCAATAAAAGATTTATGTAGTTGATCCTAAATAGTTAGGACTCGGGACATTACAGTTTGTTGTTGTTGTATTTCACATGAACTATATTTTAGCAAACATATGCTAAAAGCATATTGTTGTAGCTCAAAAATTGAAAGTCACTTATCAAACCATAAGAACAGGGAAATTGACTGGTTCATCAACAAGCTGTTGTTTGTCACTTTCCTATTTTATGCTGAAAGGGTCTGAAGGTGGTTCAACAAAGCTAAATAGGATTCAAGGAACATGGGAGTAACCTTTGGAAGGGTCCTCTCCAATGCACGATGCAAGCAGGTTAGTAATAGAATGACTTAAGAGACTAAAGATTACAAGACCCAACAATTGCAAAACTCAAATAACGAGGAAAAGCCCCATATTTACAGAAAAAGTTCACCTAGGGATAGCTATGGCAGACCAGGCAAAGCAGAAAGCTTTTTAGGGTCATATCATTTAGGACTGGTAATAGGCTCCTAGAAGTGACTGTATCTGATATGCCCCATATTAGCAGAGTCTAACTGAAGCACAGCCGTTGAAAAAGCGATGGTCAACATCTCATGTCATGATCATAAGTGGGGCAAAAACAAGAGACAAGTCAAGGTCACATGTCCTAGTAGCTTAGTGACTAACCCACATTCCAACCAGCATGCGCATTCAACTTGACAGTATGTGGCCTATTACGTAATGTTAGACCCCATTAGAGAACATGAACAATAATGTAGTGACCCATATAGACCACCACTTTAATAGTGTAATATAGTTAGTGAAATTGAAAATACATTTCTGAAGTTCAAGATGTTTTTCCACCACATACAAAACAAGTTTAGAAGTGATAAGGATAAATTAGGTCGATGATATACTAATTTTAATGGCACAAAAACTAGATATACTAGGTAAATATTGATAGCAATGACTAGCAAATGCTAGTTGCCAGCATGGCATCCTGCAATTTCATGCTTGTCATTCAACTGTACCTGCAAAGTTTTAGCTGGTGTCTTCTTGATGTTCAAAGTGAAATCCTCATTCCAAGTTGGCTCTGTTGACCTACAGTTAAAAAAGCATCAAAGAAATTTATAATAACAAAATATCCAAGTACATGAAATCAAAGAGATCCCAGAATTAACTATCCAATCTCAGCCAAGGTTTTTAATTTCGAATGATCTCGCTCGTACCGGACAGTACCGTCGATTGGGGCTATTTCCACTCCATTACCACCCGAAATCGGTCGGTGACGGTTGATTTCGACCACTGCCGCCAGCTACCGGGCGGTATTAGCTGAGGGAGAAGAAGTGGGAGAAGAAGAGGGTGCACCTGGAGATCCGACGCCGCTCTCCCTCGACGATCCCGATCCATCGTCGCCCTCCCTCGCCGAACACTGCATATGAGATGTCACCTCCTCCTCGTCTGAGGTGACGAGGCTTCAGCGTCATCAGCGACTTTCTCCTAATCCGCGCGAGGAGAAGAAGCCTCGGCGTGGGGAGAAAAAACCTCAGCAACGTCGTCGAGGCTTCGGGGGGAGAAGAAACTTCCCGCAAAGAAACCTCGGCGACATCGCTGAGGCTTCGAGGTTTTCTTCTCCCCACGCTATCATGGACAAAATTCTAAACAAAATGTTTGATGTAATGCTTATGTACGTCCGTGTCTTTTGGTTTATTTATTCTTTGCACAGCATGTAGAGGGACGGTCGAAGGCTTAACAGCCCCATTTTAGTTGGGTTTGGTGGTCGTTTTAGGCTTGTAAATAAAGGTTGTGTCATGTGGACATTTGTGAGAGATACTCAGTCTGTAGTGGACCATTTTAACCCTTTGTTGTGCAACCGTTCAGAGCTTATAAAGTTTGTTTGGTATTTGCATTGGCTATGAAGTGTTTGCTTGTGGATCCCGAGTGAGACGCTTTCTCTAACACGTTTTCTCTTTTGTAGGTCCTAAGGGACCATGGGAGGTTTTGGGAAGGCTGATCTTTGCGGACGAACACGCAAGGGTGCCGCACGACTTAGGCAAAACCAGCTAAGTCCATGACAAATGGTATTAGAGCGGGACAAGCACTCATAGAAACACTTGGCATGCAAACGTGGGGGACCTAGCGGAGCTGCGTTGAGGGCAATCAGCACGCCAGGGTCTGCTGCTGTACCGAACTGTATCGCCCGGTACGGGCGGTACGTACCAATCCGACAGGTTGTCGGTACGCGGACCGCCTATTACCGGTTTGAGTGCACTGTAGCAGTGCTACAGTACTCTGCACACCTGGGTGTACCGCTCGGTATACCGTACCGTACCGGTACTAAGCCCAGGTCGAAATACTGGTACGGTACGGTATTGCGAACCTTGCAGCACGCGCAACCGTTTGGGGGAAAACGAGCATGGAGATGTAGGGAAAATGAGTCGCTCAGAGGAGCGGACATCTGAGATTGGCGTTCAGAGGAATGGCCAACACTTCGCGCAAGAGGCACCACGAGGACAAGCAAGTTGGGAAGAATGCGTATTGCACAAAGGTTGGGATGGTTGAGTTCGAGCTACAGCTCGATGTTGACAACCATACTTGATAATGCTCAAGGCAAGCAAAGCACTTGGTAAAGGATGAGACAATGCAAGGTGGAATGGGTTGTTCAGCGACCGAAAGAGTGGTGCAAAGCTCACAGAGGTGAAGGGAATTGCTAACTCGAAGAATTCGGTACTCATACAAGGGCTTGTATGCGGACAATGGAATGTTCGTGGCCATCCTAAGGTGATCAAAACTCAACGCCATGGAGCATTGAAACTTTCTCTTCGGTATGGGAAGGATACGTCCGTAGGAGGCTGAAGTGTGCAGTGAGTTCAGCATGTTGCTAGGCCTTGAGTGGTGCAGCGGGGGCTGTATTGACGTGGAGTCGTGATCTAACAAGTGCGTTTGCAGGGGGCAGAACAATGCACAGTTTGTTCAGCAAGTCGGAGTAATCCAAGGGGATAGTGGTCTCTGAAACTTTCAGAAGGAAACGAAGAGAGATGTTGTTCCAACGGGATAAATATCTAGGAGGGATAAGTCTCGGCTCTCTAAAGGGAGAATGTTGTGCAACGGACCGTACATGATGAGGAGGAGTACTTCAAAAACAATAACTCCACAAAGGTCAATGGACCGAGCGAGCGACGAGGAGTCGTCGCATAATCTCGCATAAGAGAATGCATTGGTGGATGTATTACGAGATCAAGTGGGGAAGCAACCCAAGGCAACACAAATGTAAGCACACTTGGAGTCGATATGTAGATCGGACTCAATATAGGGCTGACCCATGGAATGGTGGGTGCGAGGGCCACCATCAACTCAATGCAAACTGAGGAGCGGAGCAACTTGGGTGTAACTTGGTGAAGTACCCAAGCCGCATGAAGGGAGTTAGCATAGAAGATGGAACATGGAGCGGAGGCATAGAGCTTTCCTTAGACAGAGGTCAAGGACATGAACTCTTGCAGAGGCAAGAGCGGGACCATGTCGTTCCATGGGTCCTTCATTCTAATGGAACGGACTCATCTTGCATAGTGCCAAAGACGAAGGGAGCTTCTGGACGTATGCACCTTATCTCGGAGAAGCATTTGGTGGAGGAACCAAGGAAACTCAACTTGCAAAGGCAAAGTTGGGTTCAGAAGGCCTTGGCACGGGGCAAGAGGACGCGGAGGCGGGTACTCTTGAAAAATATGCCATAGTGCTGTCATTCAAGTTGTCATGAAGAGCTACTAGGTGGCAGACTGTCCTAGAGCTGTGTTTCGTCTGAGTGTGACCCGAGAGAGGGTGGATGAAGGTCGATTGTCAAAGAAGCGAACAAAATCGAAGGTAGAAGAGGCCCTGCGATGTGTTAGCAGAGGCCACACATGGAGGGATCACAATCCAAGTTCATCCCACAAGGATCAGAATGCAATGGAGATGTCACTAGGAGGCGACATGGTGCAGCAAATCGTGGTGGAACAGTTCGTGGCAATGCAATACACACGAATCTAGTCCTGTGAGGGACTATATCATACGAAAGTATGATCGGGAGCTACTGGGAGCTCCACTTCGGCGAACAACACGACGGCAAGAAGGGCTATGGATTCAAGGAGTGAAAGTCATGGTACCGCAAAGGCAAGTCTTCCGTGTGTGCATCGAATTTTACATCGGATGAAAGCCTTGGTCATCAGCATAGGGGGGTTGTGTACCACCGAGGGAAAGTTCAAATGCAAGTACCAGTGCGTCTCATTGGAGGGACTTGATAATGCAGAGGTATAATCGAAGCAGTTGGAGAGTTGGACTGCTCTAGAGCCTATATTCGCTTAAGGGAGCCTGGTAAGTCAGAGGACAACGTCGAGTAAGCGAACGTTGCTACCAAGGAAGCTAAGGAGAATAGAATCGGTGCAAACCCTACAACACGATGACAGAGGCCATGCATGAGAGTTGCAATCTGTCTTTCCGTCGACCAAGGGGAACTGCTTAGAGAACACAGAGGTGTTGAAGCAGGGGGTCGAAAGGGGCGAGGAAGCAACGACGAGTCCAAAGGGACTTAGCTACCCAAAACAAAGCATCAGTTAGAATGGAGGTGGACTCGAAGGAGTGCCACAGAGACATATCTACCGATCGTGAAGAAAAGGGATGTAGATGCGAAGCGATGGATAGTAAGGCCATGGGCATGGCAACGCCATGGTACCGAGAGGCGGGACTTTCGTGAAGTCATCGATCCCTTGCTCTCATGGAGGGAGAGCGATTGGTCATGAAAGGGGCCGAGGAGGTGGAGTATGCAAAGGCAAACTCCAAGTACCGAGACAAGGCTGAAGGGCAGAGGCCAAAGAACTTCGTAAGACCGGTGTCAACGGGCTTCTCATCAAGATAGCCGAAAGTGAAGGACTTTGGGTCGTGCAAGAGTGCACGACCAAGGAACGAAGTAGGCAGTACGTAGTATTGTACCTTTGCTACCCAGTGGAGTAGGCGGCAGGGTTGATGGAGAAGATAGTACAATCTCATAGGCGATCAAAACTATTAGAGACTTACTCCAAGTTGGAGTGAAAACTTCCGGCATTCCAGAAGTTCAATGGCATTGAGAAGGTGAATCACAGTAGCTAACTCAACACAAGGAGTGCAAACACTTCAAGTGCTTCAGAAGTGTGAGCAAAGAGCAGGCGAAGGCCAGTAACCAGCTCGATGCATGGAGTACAACCATCGAGGAGGTGGGCGAAGTTAAGTAACCATTGCCTTCTCAACTCTTAGGAGAATGGGCGAAACCGAGTACTACAATTCTCTTATATATCCAGCAGAGGAGCTCTGCATAGGTTCAAAGACCCTTCGAAGATAATGAAAGACAATAGTTGTCAAATCCTCACCAATGGTGATCAGTGCTAGTGAGAGTAGATTATCCGCTTCATTTCCCAACAGAATGCCAATCGAAAGCGGAAGTGATGCGAATCTACTTGGAAATAACAACTAAGTAAAAGAAGAGTCGATTGACAAATTTTGTGGAGGAAGGACCCAAAACTTCAAAAGTTTGTGAGGCGATGCTCGTTAAAACTCCAACAAGCATCCACCCAGTTCAAGCAACATGAGGCATTTGAGAAACTGATGTATAGTAAGGATGGTCTTTTCCTTCATCTGACGGATCCGCAGGACCCAACAAGGATCAACACAACTGAGCCAACCCCACACTAAAGTTAGAGTCATTGGCGAGTTGAAGTAGCATGACGGATCAAAAGTTCGACTACTCAACAACAGCAACGAAGAGCAGTTGGGAGCCAAGAGACGCATTGCAGCTGGAGCAGAAGATTGAAGACTCAGCGAAGGCGAGGAGATACAGCATTAGCAAAGGCTTCGACGAGGACGTCGAAGGAATAAGTGGGGGAGAATGTCACGGACAAAATTCTAAACAGGATGTTTGATGTAATGCTTATGTATATCCGTGTCCTTTGGTTTGTTCATGCTTTGCATAGCATGTAGAGGGACGGTCGAAAGATTAACAACCCTATTTTAGTTGGGTTTGGTGGTCGTTTTAGGCTTGTAAATAAATGTTGTGTCATGAGGATACTTATGAGAGATACTCGGTCTGTAGTGGACCATTCTGACCCTTTGTTATGCAACCGTTTAGAGCTTGTAAAGTCCGTTTGTAATTTGCATTAGCTATGAAGTGTTTTATGAAATGTTTGCTTATGGATCCCGAGTGAGGCGCTTTCTCTAACCCGTTTTCTCTTTTGTAGGTCCTAAGGGACCATGGGAGGTTTCGGGAAGGCTGACATTTGCGGACGGACACGCAAGGGTACCGCACGACTTAGGCAAAACCAGCTAAGTCTGTGACAACGTGGGGAGAAGAAATGACGCGACGTCGCCTCGACAACGTCGCCCCTTTTTTTTTATTTTTTAACTTCTAATATATATATATATATATATATATATATATATATACACACACACACATACCGAGCGGTACGCTAGAGCGTACCGCTCGATATACTTATATCGTACCATATCGAGGTGTACTCGAAACTCCGGTATGATACGAAATTGCAAACCTTGGTCTCAGTTACATTCCTGCTAACCAAATGGTATATGAGTGATGAAATGATCATCCTCCGTAATGGGGCTTCACTCTAGTCTTCGATCCCAGAATTAACTATCCAGTCTCAGTTATATTCCTGCTAACCAAATTGTAGATGAGTGACAAAATGATCATCCTCCATAATGGGGCTTCACTCTAGTGAGAATAATGGACTACCAAAGAGCTTGGAGTTTGATAGTCATTTTCGAACTAAACCAGTAGGCAAAGCATATAGACTTAACATTTTATTTCATCCAAATAATGACTCAAAACTTAAGGAGTTATCAGTTATTCAGCCACATATTAAAAACTTGGCTGATCAATAGCTACCGACTTGATGAAGTAGCTCAAGTTTAGTCCATTCATTGTCATGGAACTTCAATATGTACAAACCAATATTGACTCTTGTCATAATCTATGAAGCATGGACATGAGAATAGAAGATGACAATAAAGATTTGCTGATTCAATAAATTTTCATGTATGTCACAACGATTTTCGATAAATTTACATTCTTTCTTGTGAGGAGACAAGATTTTCTTTCCTAAGAGAGCAATGTATTGAGGTTCACTATCTCTTCATGTACAATAAACATCCTAATTGTTAGTATATGCAACTTACGAGAAGCATCATATGTATTCACAAAAATGCCTAGCATGAACAAACATTGCAAAAACGATGGAAGATGATAGCTACAACAATAGGAAATGCAATAGTAATAATGTATCCACTCTATTTCACTATAATAATCACAAGATTCTCTTTTCACTTTCCTCTATTTAAGTTTTCCACTTCTCCTTCAATTACATTCGTCAATCCTCTCTTCATTTTCTTCTTTTGAGGTTCTCAATTAGTTGATGGTAGGCATTTGCATCATAATAAGATTCTCCTTCATAACATGGGTGATCAAGGTTCAAATCATGGAAATACCTACAATAATGCTCTACGAATCGAATATTGACTAAAAATTGGGCACATAGCTAGCTTTTTTTAGGTTGTTTGTCAGCTAGAATTGGTCAAAATCAGTCAACTACAGATTATTTCAAATCACTTTCTAACAAATTTCTTATTATAATATCAGAACCAGCCACTAGCATGAACTATGACAGAATTTGTTCACTAACAAGACATTTGCAAATCCAAACTAGGGAAATAGACAAGCGAATCCTGAATTTGGTTCAGCAAGTGAATCCTACGGAAGCTTGGCTTAGATAAAATCTTTGAATGTCTATCTAAAAATGAACATAGCATGAAATGAAGATTGAGCCTAGCTTGATTACCTCCTAAAAAGGAATATCAGAGAGTAAGCAACTTAATTCAACACAGTTCAACTCTATTGAAGTCCTAGTTCAAATAAATCAATCATAATTGTTCTCCTTTTTCCCTCATATGTGACACCCTAGATTGCCCAACCAGCAGCAAAAAGTACAATGATATCAACAAAGATTGGCCATTTCACAATCACAACCATCGGCATTCTTCCAGAATTTAAGGATCATAAATATGTCAATGTACGTTGAATCCTTACTGTTAAACACTAAAAACTTCAATCTCTGCCTCCTATATGCTTTTTCGATTAGAACTGACCATAAAACCCAAAAAGGATGACATGATTGAAATATGGAGCATTATACTAAGGGACTATACTGCGATAATAATATGGTGTGTATATTCTTTTTAATATTTAAACAAGGTAACAAAAAATTGTACAAAAGAATGACTTCAAGCCACAATGACATGCCACTAGTGAGGGAAAGCCATAAGTTGGTAAATAACAAGCTTTAAGTAGCCTCATGTGGAATTGAACTGGTAAGTTTCACATGGAGAAAGTGAGGACTTACGCCCATTTGACCTTGCTTTTTGCGACCTGACCTTCTACTTGCAAGACCACATAAGGATCACTTGTTCCCTGAAAGTTGATAAGGGCTCCTAAGAAATAATTGAAGCAACCCAAATGCTAAAAAGAACAGTGGACATGCATAACTGTTTTTCAGCTTTTATTTTGCAGAATCAGAAGACAATATCCATTAAACATTCAAATCCTTCATGTCTGTAGATGGGTAACTTAGGAGATGGGAGAGAGCAGTAGCTTTGGGTACATACATGGCACACCACTCTACAAATGATTTGTGTGGCCAAAGCTTAAATGTGACACAAAAATATAAAGATCAAGTCATATGATCCATGAAGATATAAACATGATAAACTTACTGCCACAAGTTCATAAATGATGTTACCTATCTCTGGTTCATCTATCTACATTCATGGAGAGCACCAGATTTGTGATAAAAGATTAAAAAATAAAAACACATGCAAAATTTGTCTCACTTCTGCATTATGCTTAAAGTAATCTCTAACATTTGCACATTTGCACATTTGCACAATTTGCCAGAGTAATATAGTACTAATTATATTAGTTTAAACTTTAAACTTTAAACAAACCAAACTGTTCCAGCAACCCCACATGTCTAATCAGCAAACATATCACCATAATTGTAAGAGGTATAAACACAAGAAATAGATGTTAGAGATGTATATGCAAAATATGATAATTTGCTTTTGTTTGTATAATAGAAAATAGAGCCCGTAATCTATGTTTTGCTTTGTAGTAGTCAAAGTTCCTCAAGACCCCTTTTCTGAAATATCACTATTCGATGGACTGTCCACATACTGAAAAAAAGATACCTATTAAACCATTAAGTAGGTACTGAAGATTAATCACCTGGGAACGAAGAGACAAATTTTGGACCCAGGTCAAGCACATCTCAAAGAAAAATGATAAATCCAATAAAAAATTTTAAGAAGTTACAATTCCAGCCAAAACATTTGGGGTCAGTATGCCAAATCATTTATTTAATAGTATTTCATGCCCTTTGAACTTGTTAATAGTTTCTTTGTCAAGCTTCCTACTTAGAAGTTCAAAGTATTACAATAAGAAGCAATTATTGTCCCCACAAAGCAAAATTTCCCCATTAATGTCCCCCTCCCTTGTTTAGATACTGTCCTATGGGCACATTTTTTCTAACAAGGGAAAGAGAGAGGCCTTACAGTATCAAATTTCAACAAGGAAAGGTTTGAACCAAATCCCCATGACATAAAAAGAAAAATACACACACATACAACCAAACACACAGAAAGAGTAAGCTTGGACATGAAATGCAGTATATACGTACTTTTGTCTTTCCAGATGATATCGGCTCACTGGCCTGAGCCGATCCAACAAAATCAACCAAACTAGTCAGGCATGCTTATTGCCTATTTTATGTTTTATAACAAACTTGGATCTCCTCCAGCTCAAATTTTCAATCGGAACCACCATATTTAGTGGAGACAAGAGGGATGATGAGAGATCAGCCTCCAACGGCAACACACCATTGGAAACTGGGAAGTCTCCTTGCAAACAAAATAGTGGTTGAAGACTTCTACCATTAACAAAAAGGAGTCCTGTCTGTTTTACAGTTTCCATAGGGATTCACTTTCTTCAAAGGCTTCGATTTCTGACAGTCCTTTCTCCAGCAGTGTGGCTTCCCCCAGTAGGTACAGAAAAGCATGTTGCTTATTCATTACTGGTTTTTAGCATCCTGAGTTTGTCCTCCATCTTATTAAGTAGTTCTTTTTGTTGTTATAACTTATAAGCCAATTATACTTTTTTTTTTCCTTTTCCTTAAATGGCATTTCCCTTCCTAGATTAAACTATTTTATGTTCAAAGGAGAGTTGAGATAAATGTATATATGTGAACATTTGGGTTGCCTATTATCATCAGATACTAGTGTAATCCATAAAGCACAATAGAAATATTTTTAAATAAAAGACAGCCAACCTACCCAAAAGTATGCCACCCCTAAACTTTGTTTTCGGGGACACCTAATACTCCAACAAGATGAATAAGTTACTTGCTAATCCACCTCTTTTCCTTCCTTTTTCTTCTCTTCTCCTGAAGAAGAGATGTCCATGCTTTACTTCAAAATCACAATGAAATGAAGCAGATAGGCTATTGTTCATTTTTTGTTTCAGAAAACAGAGAAAAGAAAAACTAAAATTTTCTAGATATTAACAAGAATATTATATAAATTACCAAAAACTTGGTGATTGCAAGACTTACCACCTCATGACATTCATGAAAATATCTCACACAATCATAGGCTACATAAATGACTTATTAAGAACATAATTTTTTTAACATACCTAAGCGTAACATAATGTACATCTCTCGTGTACATAGCTATTAAGCATGGACACTTCTAAAATGTTTGTAATGTACGTGTTGGGTACTAACAAATAATGACCAACGTGTCAAGTACTTCAAGATTTAGTAGGACATATTTATAACCTACATTTACCTACAATATATAAGACATATTATCTACATAGTGCTTAAATATTCAGTGCTATAAATGCATTTGGAATTTTGGCTTACTAGTATGTGAAAAATCTCCTTAACATTTTGTGCATAAGTGCAAACACATACAATGATCCTAGAATATCTAAATTGTACATAATATTTTTAATATATAAAACTATAGCATATTGGTCATATCATGTCTTCCTTTTCAAAATTTTGTAGTGCCTATGCTGTGTGCTGTCTGTGCTTATGATCCTCCGTGTCTTATAGGTTCTTAGACAATTTGATTCACCAACTTATCCCAGCCATAAAGCAAACATAATTGTTCTAATTCTGCACATGTTAAATTCACAACCATTACTATTATCATCGCCTACCAGCTTTTGTTCAAGCATTTTTAATGCTGATTAAATGATTTGTTACAATATCCATGTTTTCACAATGGGATACATAGCATATACTGTTTTGTAGATTAGATAAATGTTATACATGGGATAAAGGAGAAACGAAAACTTGTATATGGGAAGCAACCTGGTCACTAGATTTTATTCATGCAGCAAAAGTGATCAAAATAAATAAATCTCAAAGTTTTTTTTCTTTTTTCAGGAGTGAACATAGAGGCAACGACACGACATACCCATGGGTCCAATGCAGGAAAATCTACACCTTTCTTTAACTTAATACGAAGTTGCCCATCATATACCTCACGAAGAAATTGCCTGCCAAAATATAAGGACTATATTGGAACTCCATTTCACAGATGATATATGATATACAGACCCAAAATTCACTGATGTCATTTCAGGCACCATATCCTTTTACCCTAACAAAGTTAAACACAGCAAGTTTTTTTATTGTGAACATTTCTTACTGAATGTAAATTTGCTTGTGGTTTTGGAGTTATAAGAGATCAGACAACCATAGATTTTTCCAGCTAACATATGGAATGAGACTTTGCAATAACTTTATCATTAGCATAATGACAACTTCAGTTTGTGGCCTTTGTCATATTCAATATGCATGAAAATAGCTTAAAATGTTGTTTCTTAGGAAATTTATCCATCTAAAGCCACTCCAGTGGCACATTTTGTAGATGTATCAGCAAATAATCTATCTACATACCTAAAAAAGGTGAATTTTGTCCAAATAAATTAAATGTCTATTCTGGCCACTATTGAGAAAAGAACATTCAAAGGTTATATTGGACTATTAATGCAACTTCTCCACTGACAACAAATACAATCTGCAACTTCCTGTGTGCAAGGAGCAGCTTGGAATGCAGTAATTAGTCAAAGATAAGAATTTCAAGAAGAATTCCATGTGGTTTACAGCTATAATATTAAAAAAATTGTAAAAGGCAAATCACTAGAACATGGCATGATTGTATGTACTATAAGCTCCACTATATCAATCAGCACTAATAAAATATATATATATATATACTAATAAGATACTAATGCAGCATATTGTCAATTTTGCCCTAGCATTTAAACAAAAGAATGAGTGTGCTGTGTGGTTTATATGGTGCTTATAGACTAGGGCCACATGAGAACCTTATCATTTCTTAGAAGAAGAAGATGCTTAAGCCATGAAACCAGCTTATCTTCTTGCAAGGTAAGAAGGTAAACTATACTGTTAAGATATTCTATGAAACAGATTAACTTCCTAGTAGCGAAATTTCTAGGTATGAGACACATGAGAAATATACTCCTTTTGCCTTCCTTTTAGGCTTGTTAGTAATCACAAGAAGAGAAAGAGGGTGGTGGACAAAGATGCTTGTGCAACTTATTTTACAAATGATTTTTTAAGAGGTTGCAAAAGTGCAAAAAATGATGATGATAATTATGACTTTAGAAAAAGAAAACAAATGTAAAATTGGCATCTCATATGGAGGTTTTGAGCCACCTATCTAGAAGACTTGTAAGAACCAAATTATACTTGTAAAAACATGTCTCAAAAGAGAGATCTTAATTGGCATATCACTTTAATACCAAGTTCAGCGCACAAAGTCCTAAATCATAAAGAGCACATTGGAGAAGCTAGTAAACCAAGAAAAATTAGCAGGTGATTCATATGACAACTAGAGTATAGCTTTGCACAGATAATAATCCGTTGTATAACAAGTCAGTGAGAAGAAGTGACCTTCTTCATTTAATTCAAGAAAGATGTTATGATAGAGCTTAGCATTCAAACAGAATAATAAACAGGGTAAGCACCATCTAAATGCAAGTGCTGATCTCCCGAAAAAAATTCAGTTATTCTCGTACCACATTCCTGGACTACTCTCATGTAAATTGCCTTGAAGAGGCAATCGGAATATAGAATAATAACTAAATGAGCAAACAATCTTTGTAAACCAATTCAATGATGACCAAGATTTCAATACATGAGACCGACGCAAATAAACCAATAAATATTCACAACAGCATGCGCATCAAAAAGGAGGAGGTTGTACTCGGAAAGGAACACCGTCTGACAATCTGCAGCATCGATCTCACGCCATCCAACGTCTTTCTATTCAAAAGAAACGAACCAACAAAATTGCCCGAAAGAAAAGAAAACAATCAGAGAGCAAGAAAAAATTAATCACTTTCTTGGGAGAGAAAAAACAGCCATGAACGGACCGGAGGGCTCGTATACGCCTCGAAGGCAAATCCAGCAAGAACGACGGCGAGATTGAGATCGAAGGGAGGCCGTTCCACTTCCTCGATCGAGTTCCCGCCGTGTTGCGCACTGGAACAACGGGTGGCCGCGTGACCGCCGCTTGGTGTACGGATTGACCTCAGGAACCTCGCTTTCTTGCGAAAGGCCACAGCGCCGGGAGGCGGACGGGGTTTGTTGAGGCGAGGGACTCTTGGAGAAGGCAAAGAGGCGAGGTGTTGGAAGGGGAAGGAACGGAGAGGGATCTTGGGGCTCTTCAAAGAGGTCATTGGCGAGACGCTGGGAAGGTGTAGGAGCTCACAACGAGCAAGGTACGAAGGCTCCTTCTTCGGTTATCCTTTCTTGCACCCTCCTGTCAAGGGGGCACGGGTAGGAAAGATAACGAGAAGGAGAAGGCGTCCTCTAGAAAGCTTAAATAAATAATATTTTTACTTATGTATATATTTATTTATTGAACACCTACCCAACGGTCACCAGTTATCACATGGAAATTTTTATTTATTTATATACATACATATATTTATGAAATGATTATATATTATTTCTATAATTAATTATGATTAATATCTAATTTTTTTATATTTTAGAAAAATAATGTTATATGAAATATTTAATCTCAAGATCAGTATTATTATATTAAAAATATAAATATAATTTTATTATTTTTAAAATTATTAATTTTATATAATAATTCGATCAAATGCGGCATTCAGAATGCTATGCACGAATCTCATGTTCATCTACACGATTAAAAGATACACTAAATGTTTGCACAAAATGGTACATTATCACTGCTCCATCAACCAGAAATCACACATCTGCGAGCAGCAAATTCTCTTCCTGAACCCCAAAAGATGAATCTTTGCTTCGTAGAACACCAGCCGCTTTCTAGAGCTGCTATGTGGTCGCAGCAGCAGCAGAAACTGGAAGCCAGCAAGACCGGCCACCAGTCTTTGCGCTGGCGCCGGCTGGGTGAAGCAGAGCACGGCGGTAAAAGTCTCTTTTGTTCTAACTCGGGTTTCAGATTATTGTGCCTGCTGCCAGTGGTACAGAGCACCGTAGCTCGACGAGGTCAGGAAGCCATCACTTGAATCCATGGTGGGCTTTAATAACCCTGAGCTTATCTCAGCATTAAAACCTTAACTCTTTTAACTTAAACTTGTGGCGACTAAGCAGAAAAATGGGGGCAACAGTGGCTATCGGTGTGACTGAAAAAAAAAATCACAGCAGTAATAATTGAGGGCAGAGGAAGAAGAGAAAGGAAAAAAACTAGGGTAACGTGTCTTTGTATCTCATTTATTCTCATATTATTGTTGGGCGATTGTCTTGACAAAAGATTTTGAGATTTATACGTTTATTATTTTTATAGTGGATTTGCTTCTTTAGTTTGTTCCGTGATTTTTCTCATTTACGTTGAATGGATTTTTCACGTAAATCTTGGTGTCTATGTTATTATGATTTTTATTTACTTTTTCTACTGCGTGTTACAGTCCGTTTGTATATAAAATTTTATTCCATTAGCTCAATCTCAAAGTTCAACATTGGTCGATGGAATCGACAGAATTGGACTCCCACGGGGAAGCCCAAGGCTTACCGATGACACTATTGCTCCATATAGATTCTTGAGACTCTACACCACCATCACCCAAGTCTGTCATAGTAATATATCTATAAGGCTTGACTTCAAATGACCGTTCTTTGCGACTATCTATGACTCCACGAACTATTATTCCGTTACCAAATGTCTCCGTCCTAATTGCTCGTCGAGCTAGTCGTTAATGTGGTTGAATCGATCTCCGAAATAGTTCTTATTCTCGGAAGAGCTAGAGTTGAGATTGGGTGAGCAGGTGCGACGAGCGATAAGTAGGTTGGAATGGAAAAAGAAAGGAGAGAGGAAATAAGTAAAGATGAAAAGTTTATATAAAATTAATAATAATAAAAATAAAATTATATTTTTATCTTTTCTTTTCCTGTTGTAACAACACGTGCTATTTTATCGATAAAATTAACAAAGTAAGAAAATTATAATTAAATATTTTACTTTTATAAATATAAAATTCTCAATACTATTTTTAAAAATATAAATATCAAAATTCTAATCATAATTAACCACAAAAAGATAATATATAATTACCCCTATATTTATTGAACACATAGCCATCGATCCACTAGTTTGCATGCGAACTTAGCTCTGATATCCAATCTATCGTTCACTAAAAATATAGGATAAATTCTTTTTAAAAAATATTTTTTTTATTTTTTTGCAGACAATATTTTTTTTATTTATACTCGTAGAACACCACTCCTAAAACATTTCTTTAAAGAGATTTGGCATACGTACCACACAATTTTGTGTGCGAGAACAATCTGGGTTCAACAATAGGGGAAAACGAACTGGTACAGTTCAAATTTGTAGCTACCAGCAAGGAAACAGGTGTAACGTAAATAGCAAGGCCCGTCTCGTATACCATTAGACACAAACATTTCTCGAGCCACAATAAACGAATCGATATAACACAGAAGGGGACACCATGTTATGACTTGCAACAAGAGATGCCTCTCGGAACTGTACAGCTTAAAGTAAAAATCGACAACGTAAATTTACCTTGACAGACTGAGGATGACCATGGTCGCTTGTGATCCCTCTCGATCTGTAAAAGGTAACTCAAGGGCCATCAGGACCTAGACTGCATAAGGATGGCCATGGTCGCTCATACTCCCTCTCAATCTGTGGAAGGGTTGTTTCTTCCTCTTTGTTCTTAGAGGACCAGATCTGTTAGGTCTGACCAAACTTTCTATCCCCCCGACCAAAGTAGATGTCGAATGGGGTCTCTGCATTTCCTCCATTGGTCCTGAGCTGTACTCCATGGTCACAAAAGAAGTAGCACCATCGTAGGTTATGCGTGGTGTTGCACCATTCCACCAACTGCTCTCGCTGTCGAAATCTCCCTTGAAATCACCATCTGTACCCAATGATTCCTCCCTCTGGCTGATAGAATTGTCACAAGCTTCATCCATGTCATTGCATATTAGCTTCAGTGCCTGCACAACTTCCCCCATGAACGGCCTTTGAGATGCCTCCGAGTGCACACACATGGATGCGATTGCTGCTACTTTTGCCATATTGTCGAAGTCATACTTTCCACCTAATGATGGATCGATCAATTGCTCCAGCCCTTCCCTGCTAGTAAGCAAAGGGCGTGCCCAAGTAACGAGGTTCTCTGGTCCTTGAGACTGAGACATATACACTGGCTTCCTACCAGATAAAAGCTCCAGCAATACCACCCCATAGCTGTAAACATCACTTTTAACAAGTAGATGACCTGTCATCGCATATTCTGGGGCAACATACCTGCAAAGTCATGGGTAAGCCTCTTGTAAAGAAGTCTGCAATATAAAATGTGGGGATGCACTCAGATGCTTTGCCGTGCTATTCAGAAAGCGCATGCAATTTGTTCATTTTTCTTTACTAGCAAGTGGCATGAAATTCGTTAGTCAGAGGATACAATATTAGGTTAAATTATATATAATTCATAAAAAAGAAAAAGCTTTCATATGGAGCCACTGCAATAACATGACACGATGCATCGTTTGTTACATCTTTTCCAGCAGACACCATGTAATAATAATGATAGCTGCAATTAACACAAAAATAAGCTGCATAGCACAAGTGACATTCTTTAAGCATGTCTTAGGTGAACAATAAATGATGGACGATAATTGATTCTAGTAGAAATTCTTTAAGCATGAAAATTGACATGGGTCATTAATGCAATCTAAAATTCAATTCAAACGTCAACACAAAGGGTGTTGGAAGAAGTGACATTACCCAAAAGTCCCCATAACTTGAGTAGATATATGATGAACCCCTTCTGATGCTTCTCTAGCCAATCCAAAATCTGAAACCTTGGGGTTAAAGTCATCTTCAAGTAGAATATTACTGGCCTTGAAATCACGATGTATAACACGAGGGTTGGAATCCTCATGCAGATATGCGAGTCCTCTTGCTGCACCAAGGGCAATTTTCATCCGAGCATCCCAGTCAAGAGGTCCCTTCATTTTATCAGCACCTGTGATGCAAGCACAACAGTAACCGGAAAAAAAAAATGTTGAGCACAAGTGCTATGTTACATGCAACCAGACAACACTAACGACTCCTTGCAACTACTTTGTAGGCCCAAAATATGCAAAATTAATGGAACAAATTTTTTAGTCAACATCCATTTATCAGCAATGAAAATATTTTCCAGATTTATAACAACAAAATCTTCATCACTAACTCAGGCATATCCAATGGTTTAAGTAATTAAGTGGTTTAACATAGTTATGAAAATGTTCTGAAATCATTCCCATTAAAAATTCCTTTATATATAAGATGCTCTCTGTTCAACCTTCACATTAAGAAGTAATTAAGTGGTTTAACATAGTTATGAAAATGTTCTGAAATCATTCCCATTAAAAATTCCTTTATATATAAGATGCTCTTTGTTCAACCTTCACATTAAGAAGCATAGTGACATAAGATGCATAAATATTTTCATGATTGTGCAGCTCTTTGTTTTTTCATGATTGTACAGTTTTTTGTGAAGTATAGAATTATTGTAAGAAATTTACCATGAAGATGGGACTCAACACTTCTATTTCGAACAAATTCATATACTAAACATCGAATTCCCCCTTCAATACATATGCCAATCAACTTAACAAGATTGCGATGATGCAACCGGCTAAGCATCTCCACTTCTGCAATAAATTCCCGATCCCCACTCTGGTCCTCCCTGGTAAGCAACTTCACAGCAACCTCAATTCCGTCCTCCATGACACCATAGTAAACACGTCCAAATCCACCCTTTCCCAAAATCTTGTTAGAACTGAACTTATCTGTAGCCTTCTCGAGCTCAGTTACTGAAAACGTTCTCACTGAAGGTGGACAGGTAGCCATGTTGGAAACAAAGGACATTGACATGGAGCTAGCTAAACTACTTGATAATATAGACCTGATACCTGTACGAAGAGATGTGCAACATTAAGACAAAGGTGTATTCATGGATCATAAAGCATGAGCACATAAAATATAGATACAGTTTGTACTTCCTAGTACTGTAAAATAATTGAGGCTTTGATTATATAATGAGGTTACAGATGCTAACTGTTTTGGGTCTCAAAACACAGACAAGTAGAATTACATCGCGTAGGACATATATCTTCATGCATAAGTAAAAAACCACATATCCAAACACTAACATAGAAGCAATTTATGGAAAAATAAGGACCAGTGAAACAATTCAACACTTGAATAACATCCACCTACATGCAATACACTGAAGGCGGGCATACATCCACTTATTATCAGTATTCTTCATTTACTAG